ATAGGCAACGAGAGGTGGTTCTTTGAATATGGCCTGTGTGTTGGACGATGTCAAGAGTATTTGATGGTGTTACTTGAGGATTCTGTGTATGTTTGGCAGTGCTGGGTTGTAAGTTATTACAAGTGGTACACGGTCAGTGGAGGAAATAGGTTTGCTTGTGAGCGCTTCTTGCCTTGATGCCTTGATGGCAATTACATGTCTTGGACCAAATAACCCAATTTGTTGCTGATAATATTATTATATATATATATATATATATAAATGTGAGGGTACAGTCTACCTTGGCATAAAGTGCTCAATGCTGTGTTAGCAGGGCTGGGTATACATTAGTTGAATTTATACATTAGTTGAATGTATACCCAGCTCTGCTAACACAGCATTGAGCACTTTATGCCATGGTAGACTCTACCCTCACATTTATAACGCTCCTAAAAGGACTAGTTAAGCACTGTAGTCTAACCGCGACACCCAAAGATGGACCAAGTCCGATTCGATTATTCAACTAAGAACATACCGATACCACCAAGGAACAGTTATTGGAAAAGACTGATAGAGAAAATAGGAAGTGTCATCAAACGAATGAGATGGAAAGCGTTTTTCTTCGACCGCCATGAACAAAGCAACAACGATGCAGCGAACAGCGATAATTTTGGTTTTAAATCAAGAAAGTGCCCACCGCAGAACAGCGACCTGGACAAGTTTGAAGCAGATCGTCTCGACATGGTACACAACACAAAGTTTAGAAACGTCAATAACAAATTCCAGAACAAACGCAACGGAGACATCAAAAAAATCAAGAAATCAACAAAAGCCTTCATCCCTGCGGACAAGACCTCAAACTTTTACAAGCTTGACAAGACGCATCACGACAAACTCCTGAGGGACAGCATCACAACCACCTACAAGAAAGCCAGCACCGACGCCGCTATCATCATTGACTCACAAGCAAAATCCATCTCCCAAGAGCTCAAAATCGACGACCGCGCAGAACAGATCGCAAAACTACAAGCTTTTATCACCTTAAAAGACCATAAAGATAACTTCGCCCACCACCCTACATGCCGCCTCATAAACCCCGCAAAAAGTGAACTCGGAAAAGTCAGCAAACAAATTCTCGACAACATCAACTCAAAAATCAGAAAAACAACAAAGCTCAACCAGTGGAAAAACACATCAAATGTAATTAATTGGTTCACCGACATACCCAGCAAGCAAAAGCCAGTTCGTTCGCCTCGTTCGACATCGAGAGCTTCTACCCATCCATCACAGAATCTCTTCTCTCTAAAGCAATTTCTTTTGCCAAGAATCACACCAAAATCAGCGACAAAGACATCGAAATAATCATACACTGCCGGAAATCGCTTTTATTCAATAACGAGACCGCTTGGACCAAAAAAACCAAAGCAGCATGTTTGATGTCACCATGGACAGCTTCGACGGAGCGGAAGTTTGCGAGCTTATCGGACTTTTCCTCCTGAACAACCTCGGCGAAAAATACGGAAGAATAACCTAGGACTCTACAGGGACGACGGGCTGGTGCTTCTAAGAAACACAAGCGGACCACAACCTGAACGGATCAGAGAGGACATCACACGTGAATTCAAGAAACAAGGCCTGAACATCTACATAAGCACAAACCTCAAAATCTGCAACTTCCTCGACGTCACCCTAAACCTCGCGGACGGAAGCCACTATCCATACAGAAAGCCCAACAACGAAACCCTTTACATCAACACCAATTCCAAACACCCGCCAACAATAATAAAACACATACCGGCAGCAATCGGCCGTCGAATCTCCGACATCTCCTCAAGCAAAGAACTCTTCAACAAAAACAAGCCACACTACGAAAGTGCACTCAAACAAAGCGGACACGGCGAAAAACTAACCTACACCGAACGCAAGAAACCCGAAACTCACATTCGCAAGAGCAGACAAAGAAACATAATTTGGTTTAATCCGCCCCACAGCATGAACGTGCAAACAAACATCGGCAGAATATTTATGAACCTCGTCAGCAAGTATTTTCCAAAAAATCATCGTTAGAACAAGATTTTCAACAAAAACAGCATAAAAGTTAGCTATAGCTGCACTGACAACCTGCAAACCGTAATTAAGAAACACAATAGGAAAATCATTGAGACAAGCAAGACACCCCCTACTGAAAACAACTGTAACTGCAGGAAAAAAAACGACTGCCCTCTGAAAAACAACTGCCTCACTTCAAGCGTCGTCTACAACGCCAACGTAACAACTGAAAATGACGCAACCGGAAAGAATTATATTTGACTAACGGAAGGAACCTTTAAACAACGCTACACGCAGCATAAACTTTCTTTTCGAAACAGAAACTATTCAAGCAGCATGGAACTATCAAAGTATACCTGGACACTCAAAGACAGCAACACCAACTTCACAATTAACTGGAGTATTTTAGCGACCGTCCCGGCCTACACCAACAAAAGCAAGCGGTGCCACTTGTGCCTTAGTAAAACTTTACCTAATTAGAGCTAAGAAGTCTTCTTTACTAAACAAAAAAACAGAACTTAATTCTAAATGCTGGCACGAGAATAAATTTTACTTATCAAATTTCACAAGCCGCCAACAATAGCCCCAGAGAATATTTATTTATTTATTTCATCGCACCAGCGAATTAATTAACTACTTTATATAAGGAGGTATGTTCTTTATTGAATAAAATTCTGTCTGATGAGCGCTTCGGCGCGAAACTCAGGGTAACAGAGAATCGATGCGTCCTCTTTGATTCTTCAACTAATGTATACATATATTGATATATATATATATATCAAAAATCCTATAAAAATCTGAGAAAATGATTTAAAAATCTAAAATTACAAAATTTAAGTGACTAAAATGTAATGTTCCTCACTTGTTTGTTCAATTCTCTGCCTCCAGCTTTTAAGCGCAATTCGTTTGGAATCCCATTCCATTGTTTTACGGCGAAATATTTAAGAGTTCAATCCATGCTTTGTGGTATTTACTTTTGGTAGCGATATAATATTAGTATATACACACTCAGTGATCTTGGCGTTTCAAGCAATCTGATTGGTTCGCTATCTCGGGCTAATGAACAATGTACACCTCCGAGCGAGTGGATAATGTGAAAAACAAAATGGCGG